TTATTTAGTGTATTCATTAGTTTAAGTCAGGCATCACATAATATTTATAATTCTGTCCATAAAGTTAACATAAATGCTTATGGATTTTAAAGTATCCAGTGGCTGCTAGCTTTGGTTTTATTATACTTAACTTCAGCAGACTTAAAATTATTTAATTACATTGTTTTTGTAATGTCTATTATTTACACTGTTTATAGCAAGTAAGTTGTTTGATATATATGCATGTTTTACAGCAATCAACAAGCGTTTTTACTAGAAAACGTCCCATGCAATAATGTAAGCTGCAAGAGTGTACGTCGTATGTTTAAAGTTTTTTGGGAGCTCTCGGATCTAAATCAAATCAAGGATGCAGTGGTAGCAACCTTCTTTGACATATACGAAGACGTAAGTTCAACTGTCTACGTCATCAGTGTCTCTCTTTCTGTGTTGCTGTATCTCTCAGTGCGCCATTGCCAGGCTGCTTTGTAGAAACGTTGGCTTTACAGCACATGGCAGGCAGTGAAATTCACTCTCGAGATGCTCCCTGGCAGGTGAGCAGACAGCAGCAGCCCATCGCTGCTTAAAAGTCTGCTGACCCTCCAGGTGCTCAGTTTGAGCTGCCCTCTTCAGTGGCAAGGCAGAAGCCATGCACCGCAGGCATTGTCCTGGTTATCTCTGGATGGAGCACTCTGTCCTAAATAACCATAGATCAATAAGATTTGAAAGGTATTAAAATTAGTAGTGAACTTTGCACACTATTTTTTTTTCCCTTTTTGTATCTAAGGGAATTAGTTTGCTAAATTTAGATGTTATCTAGAGTAAATCAGCATTCTAATGTAAACTTTTTCCTCCAGGGAATCTTGGATATCATTGTGCTAAGCAAAGGCTACCCGAACAAGGACTTTGCTATCCATACACTAAAAAATAACTTTGAAGCAGATGCCTATTTTGTTAAAGTTATTGGTAAGTTATCACTGTATAATCAAGTCAAAATGGGACCTTGAGAGGAATGTCAATATTTGAGCCTCTGCATGTGATAACATTATGGTAATGCTCTGGGTATGATAATTCTAGAAAAGAAAAAACATAGAGTGGAAAATATTAGGGATTGCAGAAATCTCTTGTTACAGAATCTGAACTTGGATACGTTGGCTTTGTTTTGTTTCAAAGGGGTTTTTCTTGGTTTTTATTTAAGTGTACTTATTAAAATTCAAAGTAATTCTGCCCACTATTTTCAACACTTTAGTTGTTTTTAATATCAGTCTTGACCACAATGACCTTTAAATAAGTGTTCATCATCTCTTGGGGGGGGGGGATGGTGTTTTGTTTGTTGGTTTTTGGTTTTTTTACAAGAATGCATGTCTTATTTCACTCGCTAACTAGAGCCAGGCTAAATCTCTTTCATCATGGAGCTTTCCTTCTGCATCCCAGCAAAATTCTAAAAAGAGATACTAGGTCTTTAAAAACTCATTTCTCAGCTGGCTTCTGAAGGAAAAACAAGGATTATCAAGTGTCTTAAAAATATGATCTGCAGGGAAAGACCACATGGAACCAAGTTATTCAATGTAAAAGAGAAACGTAAAGAAAGAAGATCCATGTCTTCAATCCATAATGATGCATAACAGCGGGGGAATAGCATTCTGTGTGTCCATGCAAGATACAGCATAAAGTAACAAACTACAAAAACTAAATACTAAGAATAATTTCCTAAATGACAGAATTTATAACATAAATTCCTGGAGAAGCTGCAGAGTTACCAACACTAGAGCTCCTCACAACTAGGTTAAGAAATTATGTAGTGTATTTAATTGTTTCTGAGGGACAG